CGTAAGTATAGCGAGGCAGAGCGTAAGTATAGCGAGGCAGAGCGTAAGTATAGCGAGGCAGAGCGTAGGTATAGCGAGGCAGAGCGTAAGTATAGCGAGGCAGATTTGGAGGAGGGTCCATCAAGCTTCGAGGAGGAGACAGTGACGGCGTTATTGTGTTTCCAAAGATGTTGTGTGGATGTCGCAGTGGTGGAGACAGGTTATGGTGCGCCATGGGATGCAACGATGGTGGTTCCAGACAATTGTGTTTTGGCAAACGTAATCACATCCATATCGCGTGATCATTGTTCGTTGTTGGGGGAGACGGAAGAGGAGATAGCTAGGACTAAGTCGAGTATTACACGGTTGGGGAAGCCATTGATAGTGCCACGTAATCTGAAGCCTAATGTTCTTAAGGCCATAATGACTACGGCAACAAGGTTGGGTGCAACAGTGATAATCGCACCATCTACTCAGCGCTTGCCAAGAAACGGAGTTAAGGTGCTTAATATACCCGTCAGACTTAACCTTCTTGGCCAATATCAGGAAAGCAACTTGGCTGTAGCTGCCGCAGTCGCTATTCACGTCCTTGGTAAATTAGCTGAAATCGTACCAGGACATATCAATCTAGATATTTCACATATGCTCCAGTACGGTGTTAAACATGCCACCTGTCCCGGCCGTCTTGAGCGCATCGAATGGCACACAATCCAACCCAGAAGGAAATCTACAGGCGACCGCTTTCGTGAATTACTGCGACACACAGCCGCGCTCGAATCCGGCCCAGATTCGTCATCCCCTCAGGGACACTTCAACGATCGACTCGATCGCTTCGACGACCGATTTGACGACCGCTTTGCCAACCGATTCCGAGACCCCCTTGATGATAGCACCTCCGGCTCCATTACCTCCGGCTCCATTACCTCCGGCTCCATTGGCCGTGAGAATGGCTCCTCTACCACTGGCTCCCCTACCGCTGGTCCCCCTACCACTGATTACCCTACCACTGGTCCCCCTACCACTGGTTACCCTACCACTGGTTCCCCTACCACTCGTTGCCCAGCCTCAGGGCTCAGAATGCGCTCCTCCGTCCACCGACTGGCGACAGAGGGACCGACGGCAGAGAACGGAGGTTTCCAGAAGCAGGAGTACCGGTACTTTGAGGAGTTGCTGGCGGCTAGCAAGGACGGACAATGCGCCGCCGCGCCGGCAGAAGACGACGACCGGGGCTGGCTAAGGCATTGGAGTTTCGACCAAAGCTTTTTCGTCTCACGAGAGCACACAGTGGACCGCCGGATTTTAGATGCGGTCTACTGCGAGTGTCCGAAGGCCGTGCTCGACGACAGGACAGGGGTCTTGTCAGGCACAACACGGCAGTGCACCACGGAAGAGGTGGAGCAGGTTTTGCATCCTGTAGCGGCGGAACGTTCAAGAGATGCGGAACGTTCAAGAGAAGCGGAGCGTTCAAGAGAAGCGGAACGCCTTACCTCCCGGACGTCGGTTGATCGGGGGGTGGGGCGAGAGATTGCGGAGGAGACCTGTCGAAACGCTGCCGGGTCTTTCGGGGCCGCACGGGACGGTAAGGAGTGGGCTGTGGGACAGCCGCGACAGCCCGAGCGCCTTTCGCCTCGCAGCCGTCACCAGTCCTATTCGCGAGCCCTTGTCCAGTTGCCTCCAACGGCGGGGACTCCGCGTGACAGAAAATTTGTGCGAGGGAAGACTCTCTCGCTGCCAAGAACGCCGTCCCCAGGAGCGGCTTCACCCGGAGCAGCTGGCTTCAGCTCGCCCAGCTTCCGGTCGCCGAGCTTTCGGTCACCCAGCTTTCGGTCGCCCAGCTTTCGGTCGCCCAGCTTCCGGTCATCCAGCTTCAGGGCTCAAGGCTGTTTGCAAGTGGCGTCACCGTGTTCCCCAGGGATCTCTTTGAACCCAGTGATCCCCGGATCGATTCCTGGTTCTGTCTCTGTATCAGTATCAGTATCCGGGTCCACCAAGGGTGCTCGGGTGTGCAGGCGCAGTGCGGCGCATGAGGTTTTGTGGCGCGCCCCCGCAGCAGTAAGTTCGGTCGTGCAGGTCGCCGGTTCGAAGCCGAGCTGCGCCGAAACGTGTTCGAAGGGCAGTCTGTGGCTCGACGGAGCCCACAATGCGGCGGCGCTTCAGGCCATTCGGTCCTGGCTCGCGGAAATGGACCTGGTCATTGTCGGCTTTGTCGAGAACCCCGACCGCGATTTGGACGAGCTCATCCGTTGTCTCGAACCCGCGCGGCAGGTCGCTTTCGTCGCCTTTAACGAAGATGATCGCGATAACCAGAACAGTACTCAAGCTCAGGCTACGCACACGAACTTTGAGGCCACACACGCTCAGGCCACACACACTCACGAACACACATCCAGACGTCGAGAGGTGCGGTGCCGCAGTCCACTGCTGTGTTCACGCCGGTACGTGCATCAATTTGGCGAGGAGGGTGCCCGCCGCCTATTCGGCTGCTTCCCGTCACTGCGGAATGCGATCGAGAAAGTCGAGAAGTGCCCCGGCATCCGGGAAGTTCTCATCACCGGTTCCCTCTATCTCGTCGCGGATTTCTATAAAACGATTTTGCTGTCATAGTCTTGTCACTCGTCATAAGTCACTTCGAACAAAGCGGTTCGAAAGTAACGAAAGCCAATTGGACGACCTAGAGTCCACAAGCTCCGTCTCCCCGCTGGAACGCCCAGAGTCCACAAGCCTGGGGTCCGGACGCCCAGAGTCCGAAAGGCTCTTGCCCACCTGTCGGGTCCGATGTTTCTGCAGCATCATGGGAGGCGGCGCCAGGGAGGGCAGGACGAGGGTGTTCGCGAACACATCTTGGGGTAGGGCCGGCGAAAGCGACAGTGCTGCAAAGGACGTCCCGCCACACCCGGCAACGCCGATGGCCAGCGGTAGAGACGGTTGCGAGGAGGCAGTCTGCACAGGAAAGGCGGTTGCCTGGAGAGAAGATGTCTCTAGCTCAGCCGGGGGTGGTGCCGCAGACGTGTCCTGTGCAGACATGTCCTGTATTGGTGCGGCCGCTGCGTCCGGTAGTGGCGCGGCGGTGGCCAGGTCCTGTTTCGGGACACTGGCCACGTCACCCGGTGCCGGTACAGTAGCCTCGGCAGAAGCTTGGAGTTTGTGTCCGTTGGAATCGTTGAAGACAAGGAGCGTGTCGCTGACGGAGAGTCGGACGTCGATCCACGACTCCAGGGGCATCTCGTAGGTGCTGGAAGCTCTTGTGACGGCAGCGGTGGCGGCGCCTGCGGCCACGCGGTCGGGTGAGAGTGTGAGGAACCAGTGGTGGAAGCGGACGGTGACGGTGGCAGGGCAAGGGCTGTAGTAACTGAACTGGAGCGTGCCGCGTTCGCAGCGGCGAGGAGACCGGAGTACGAGGGCACTTTCTTCCTGGTGGCTGATTCGTTGCTGGACGGCCCGTTTGCCTTCGATTGCGGCAACTCTCCACACGCCAGGCCCCGTGTGAGACCAGTGACGGGAGGGATTCTGCCAATCCTCATAGAGCCGCGAACATACAGGTGGGGCGACCAGTCTGTGGTCCGCTCTGACCACGGCTCCAGTTTGTACCGATGTGCTGTCAGAGAACTTTTGGTCGGGTAGTTGACAGTTGCCGGCTTGGTAGCGCATGTCGCTGACGACGAAGGCATTGGGGAGGTTGGTGACGACTCCGAGACTTCCGCTGCCTGCGTGTAGTTCGCTCTGGACGGTGAGCAGGTGGACGTATGGTGAGGGGGGTTCAGAGCCGAAATCTCGGACGAAGAGGGCAAAGCGGTCTCGACGGCTGCGGAGGGCTAGTTCGAACCAGGCATTTTCAGTCCAGCCGGGAGCCCAGGGTACGGCGCCGAGCAGTGTCTCGCGACCGGCCTGGACACTGTAAATGGCGGCGCGACCACCGTCCACATTTTCGATTACGGCCGCGAGGAGGTTTTCAGCATTGCGCATTTTACCTATGACACCGATCCGCGCACGGGCTTGACTAAAGGAGTCCCGTGGTAGGAAGAACTTGGCTGAGAAAACGCCATCATATGCCGCAACATCACGCAAGGAAAGTAACACACCCACAAACATGTACGTCGTACCGCCCGACCCGTCTGGACACGGAATGACGGGCACTCCGTACTGACTGTTCGGCGAATAAGCGATTACACTTGTATCTGACAACGCAGAACTGTCCAGTGAACCTAGGTTCAACGCGGCAAAGTCCTCCAAACTGTACGTGCCGAAGTTGTTCAAAGTTACAGACAACTGCGCCGGGCTGCCGGCTGTTGTGTTATTTGCGAAGTTACCTACAGAGCCTTCCATTAGGGAACCTCCCGTTAGAGAAGACTCGGGGGAAGACTCGGGAATGGAGACGGACGCGAATTGGTGATAGAAGTTTTCATAAAGCCCGGCATCCCATTTGAACGAATTGTAGCCGTGCACACGCGCGCTCTTTTTTTGATAGAGAGTTAGCTGGCTCTTGCTACCCTCGTAACCGGTCATGACTGCTGATAACTTGTAGTTTAAATTCGTAAACAGGGTCGCCGCTCGGAGAGAGACGCGCTCCAAATGTCGCCATATGGACATGGCTGCGATCTCCAAAGGCTTTACTTTACCGCGTGCAGCCATCAATGCCTCCTCGTTCGTCTTTAGAATCGCCTTGGTGCGAGCGTCATTAATGCTGTCATATGTCTCCGCTTGTTTGCCCACCACCGCCTTCACCGCCAATTGATTCATATTAGAATCGCGTGGGCTGTATACCCATTCAGTGGCACCACCGAGACTGGCTGCCACCAGCTGAGCCTGGTCTGTAATCGAATCGTAGTTTGCAACTGGCGGCACGGGGTCAGAGATGGCAGCCAAACGGTTAACTAGCTTTTCAGAACCCGGCTCAGCACACGGACTACGAACCAAGCTCACCTTATAAGAACCATATCCTGGACTACTGTTTCCATTGCTCGTCAGACCATTCGAGGTCGTACCCGTGAACGCATCCACCGATCCTTCGCTCACCCTGATCTGAAGCAACGTGTAATCCTGGTCTCGTTCGATTGCATTGCCGTGGTATGCAGCAAAACAAATACTGGATTCCGCGCTGTAACCATTCTTATTGTTCCCAGTTATTAAGCTGTTAATGAAGGACACATCTTTCAGCTGCAAATAACGGGGCACACAATCGTTTGCACAACTCACTATGTTGCCGTCATTGAAGGCGATATCTGAAAATGTATCTGTACATAGTACGACCGCAGCTGCGCTTGGCTCGATCGGCAAAACCTCTTCTGAGCAGACCACACCACCGAAGCGAGCATTAGACCAGTTTTGAAATACAAACTTTTCGCAGTCATATCCAAACAAAGGCTCTTCCGATAACGCTATTCTCCCTCCACTGGGATCAACCCCCGCTAACTTGGAGACAATCTCAGTCACATCAGCGTCAGAAAAATCCTTCCAAGACGTGCCCACCACGTCCTGAGCATACGCCAACGGAATAAAGATCGGTCTGAGCCCAGCACACACGTGTGTGCTCTGAATTAATTGCGCTACAAAGTCCATCGAAACACTAGACAGCCGCACCGGGATCATTCCGAGTGATGAACAGCCGTCGCTTATATCCTGGCGGCTTTTGATGCTAGCTACATAACTAAAGCCAGGACGTATATTGTTGGTCCATAAACTAATTCCAACATTGCTACTCTGGCTTCCACTCTCGTCAATCAATGAAGGACAAAGGACTCTCACTATCGAGGGAGTGCTTGCCTGCCGGGATCGGGGTCCGCCGGTCATGCACCGTGGTTTGAGGGAGAAGTACCCTTTTGTGTCCACGTAGATGGACGACTGCGAATTTTCCCGTCTCAGTTGTGCTCGGACTTTGGATCGATCACTGCAGCGGTCCGGATAGGTGTGGCTGGCGGCCAAGCTTTTGCTGCTATCGAGATAGCCCTGGATGCGTTGTATCGACTCCTTTTGGTCCCGGGCCGTTGCCTTGAGATCTTCCATAAGGGCCTGACAGGTGTCCATAGTCATCGGACTGGAGACAGTCGCATTGGAGTTTTCCGCAGGGCTTGGATCGTCCAGGTCTTCAAGCCTGGACAGGGAGGTGGCCAGGGCGTTGATCTGGTCATCGTAGGCGCTGGTCATGGCATGAGTTTGGTCCATGAGGTCACGGTCGAAGCGCTCAACGGCGACGAGGAAGAAGAACTGGCGGGTGTCACCATGGGCGCGTGCCTCTTCACAAGGCTCGACGGTGAGGGCCAGGGGGTAGAAGTTGACGGCTATCTCCTTGATGCCGTACTGATACAGACGAGCCCCACCAGAGGCTATTTTGCTGGCAGTGCTAAGTTCCAGTTTGTAGAATGGATATGTGTGAATGAGGGGGTTGAGAGTGACGGAAGATTTCATCTGTCGGTTCCCATATACGGTCTGGATAGCCACCCAGTGTACACCGTCGGTGGAACCGGCAAGACTAAAGACAGACGCTGGTCGTTGCCATTCCACGACAAACGAATAAGCTTTCCGCCCAGAACTTTGACCCCCACCTGACGCCTGACCTCCTGACACCTGACCTCCTGACACCTGACCTCCTGACACCTGACCTCCTGACACCTGACCACTGTCATCCTGTTCGGTGTCCAGTGCCTCCAGTGACAGAATAAGCGAGACGGAGAATTTACGGACCTTGCTGGTCCGACTGAGCCAGTAGGTTTCCAGGTTCCCATCATTAGCGAGTTCAGGAGGGTGTTCGGCACTCAGATCGGCACCGGAGGAACTAATGGGTTTCTTTAACACCCGATTAACACCGCTCCGTGCTGGAGTACCTTCCAATGAGACACACATCGGCTCTTCCAGTTCCGGTTCCAGAACTAGTTCGTTATTTTCACTCAACACTATCCGTTTCCGCGGTCTCCCACTTTCCGTTTCCTCAGGAGGGACCAACATCACCCGGTTGCGTCGAGCTACTTGCAACACTGCGCCCGTCAATGCGTGCACGAACTCCGCTATAACAGGTCCTTTCTCAACGGAACCTGCCCCATCCGACGTGGACCCAGAGGAAAGCCGCCAAAGCTCGTTGCCCGCGTGACGACCAATCTCGTCCAAACACCAACTGAGTAATACTGACTCTCCTGCACGGACCAGACACATTTCTTCGTCTTCAGCCGTGACTCCGGAAACTATCATCTATAGCACAACCATCCAGTTGCGAACCATCCTCATCCAGGTGGGGGGT